ATAAAAATTGTACTGTAGAATACAGAATTATAGATAATAAATTCGTCACGAAAAAGTATAGATATAAATCTAACTGACCTGAATTTCTTAAATAATATATTCGTTTAACCTTCAGCTTCATTAGGAATTCCTGACCAAGGAAAACAGAAGGAAAAAGGTTTCTTAATTTGGTGAAGTCGTTTGGAAGTTCTGTACGTATAAATATTTACAATTAGTATTGGGCGTAAATGCGGTATTATATTTGTTTGTTTGTCTATCTAGATATGTATATATGCATTTTAATTTATGGTTACTCCATAGAGTTACAAATAAAGAAATGTCCTTAAGAGTACAAGTTTATATAACTAAACAAAAAGAAGTCGCTTTTTGTTTTAATTTAACAACTAGCTGAGCAAACGACTTCGTTCGCGTAGTTTTTTTGGGCATCAAAATTTGTTTCCTTCTTTTTTATAGAATTAAGCTATTGCCCACGACGTCGGTCACGTACCGTCGTTCTTGCAAGATATACATACAGCGTCGCAGACATTTTTTACCACTAGTAGTTTCTGAGATTAGCGCGTTCAAACAAATAAACTCTTTCATTTATCCTAATATATTAGGATACACTATGTATCCTGACATTTTTAAAATCATGCGAATAACAACTAGTTTTTCTACGTTAGTGTAGAGTGAGGTGAATTTAAAAAGTGTTCTTATAGAAGTTTCCGCAAACACTATGAGATTTAGTTTTATCGTTAACGAGGTATTATACAAATATAATTTTGCGGTGGCAGAGTCGCTACAGTCGCGTACATAATGAACTGCAGGGCTGCGAACTGGATTGAAAACAGAATCTCATTTATTCTCGCCATTTATGTATCACGCGTACAATAGTGATTGACAACTATTGTTTTTCTATGTTCACACTATAAAATACAGTTTAGCTTCACTAGTATATAATATTGGATGCATTTTCCTCGTAGGCGCTTGTCCTAGCTCTGAGAATACTTAAGGATGAGCTATTTTATAATACATATTACAGTGTGCGGCAGGGGGGGGGGATTTATTATCGTCTCATTTAGCTACTTAGGGGCTTAGCTGTAAAACGCTTTGGCATCGGGTTTGAATGATCGAGAAAATGTGGCATTTTGAAGGGAAACTAGCTCATGAAACATATGACTTCAGGCTATGCCCTCTAAATGGTGAAATTGCTCAACAGTACATTTTGTTTAGGCTTTATCGGGCTGGGGATATTTCGCCTTCCATTAAGTGAACCCACGCTGGTCTACTGTCTCTGTCATAAAAAGACAAAAAGGCCCTTTACCGCTAAGAATGCTTCGTTTATCACCACGTTTAACATATACTACCTATATCGCAATTTTTTAAATATGTATGTGCTAGAACTATACCAATAACCTCCTTGTAAACTTGAAACTACAGATTTGCAGGTATTAATTTCGTATACAAGCGTTAGCTACTTCGCTACTTCAACAAGATACTGTATAACCGCTAAGAACGCACAACTTAGTGTAAACTTTATTAGTTAGCTACATAAACGGTTGAGAACGTTTTAGCTTAATGAAATCGCGTTAAGAGGAAGGGATTTTTATTTAAAGACCTCTCCATTCCTTTGCTGAGTTAATTCAGTTTCATTATTTTCATTGGGCTAACACGCTTCGCTTTTTATTATACGAGGTACTATAATAACAACAGCATGAAAAAAATAATTGAAATGAAATTAAAAACAGTGCGTCATGAATTGGCTATCCAGAATTGGTCTAAAAATGTCGGAGCTGAATAGTCTAGTTTTTTTTTACTGTAAAAGTTTTTACAGTTTCAGTTGATTAAATAATACTGGTTGCGAAAGACCCTTTAAAGGTTTTACCATTCCGTAGGATTAAAATACAAAGCTCCGTCGTTTCAACCTATTAATGTCCTGCTGGTCACAGGAGAGAGGGTTTTAGGGCTTAGACCCACCACTCTACTTTAATAGATTTATCGTCTAACGACACTAATTTAGTAATGGTGACTGAAATCAACTTGTTTGTTTGAACGCGCTAATCTCGGGACGTACTAGTTCGATTTAAATTCTTATTGTGTTGGTCTACTCGTTGAGGAAGACTTTTAGGCTATGTAATATCACGCTACGATCAATAGGAGTTAAGGAACAGTGGAAAATGTGGAAAAAGCGGGGAAAATTATTCATTATTGAGGCCTTCCGTTGCGTGCGCTGCAAAAAACGGTTTAAGAAACCAAAAAAATATGTATGAAAGAATGCTTCCCCTTTAATTTATCTAAAAAAAGTCAACAGTCAAAAGTCAACGGACGAAGTCGCTGACACAGCTAGAGATTAATAATATGAAGCCCAAAACAACCATTGCAAGCGAAGTCGAAGTCGGACGAAGTCTATAGCTAGTTCTGTAATAGATTGACGCCTTTAAAACTCTGAGTGCCTACTAGTCATTTTTATAGACTGATTCTAAGTAATAACAATTTAGCCGACCCGGTATTAAAACCCGGGACCAACGAGGCAGTTAACCAGCAAAATATACACGGGGTCGTTGAAATGGAAGCGTCAGGTGTTATTGTGTCACGTATTGGGAACAGCGTCGCGAGGGCGCGCGACTTTTTATCTTTATCGCCATTTCGTCCGTGACATTTCCACGCCCCGAGCGAGCCGCGTCAAATGCCCCGTCAATACTATTGTCAAGAGAAACTCATAAATCAGCACTACTCGAGTTTCTCGTATACATTTTCCACGCCACTCTACGTTTGTCCCTGTAGCGGCGGTCGTATTCACGTTTCAAGTGACACTATAACGCGAATTAATTATTAATTAGACATTAGAGCGTGGGAAAGCCGTGTTAGACTAAATGGAATGCGTATTTGGCTTACGTTTGTGAGGTTATAAGTTCTCTATATATGTTTTATATGTTACTGCTATGCCTTTGTCCGCTTATATATATATATTATAGGTGTTACCCACGACATCGTCGGCGCCTTGTCACCTTGCTAATTAATCTTAAAAGATATAGAAACGAAGAATCATTCTTTTATTTGTTTTTTTGGTTTCTTGAATCGTTTCGCAACCTACGCATGGCCAGCCCACAAAGATTAATTTTCCCCGTTTTGTTCCACATTTCCTCGGTTTCTTGGCTCCTACTGGTCGCAGCTAAATGTTTTACAATCTTGAGCTTTTTTGATGAATGGTAGAACCAACATGAAATAAGCATTGGAACCAGTAATTCCTTAAATTAGCGCGTTCAAACAAACAAACCAACAAACAACCAAACTCTCCAGCTTTATCGTATTATCATATATCGTATAGAATATAGATTATACGCGCTGAAGTACAGCACCGATGTAACTGACGTGACTTTAAAAAAAAAATACGACATTTATCACATTTTAGTACATGACTTGCATTCGAACGGCGTGGATTCAAGCATATATCTTGGAGGTGTCAAGGGGCTGATGATAAATAAGAGATCAATCCTTTTAAATAACTAATAATAGTTTTCATTTATACTTAAAGAAATAAATACATCATAAGTATACGATAACAGGGCAAAATAATGTATAAATGTTCTATCAAATAAATACACAAGTTAAATGGGAGAAAAAAGCAAATATTTTTAAATTCAGGGATAATGAAGACTAAACATAAGTTCTTAAAATAGAGATAAAATATCTTAACATTTTCTCTAACGGCTAATAGCACAGATTATACAATGGGGCTTTTAGTGATTAATTAATCATTTGTTCTTTGGTTTTTAAATGTTACAATTAATTAATAGGGATTTTGACTACAATCAAACATAATTTTAAATTATGAAATACAGAATATTATTATTGAAAGAAAGTTTTTGTCGAACGGGGGGAACATTAAAAAAAAAACCTTTACAGATCTTTTCTTTGCATTGCTTTCACGTAGATGTACTTCGTAGCACTTATAAAACTCATGTCTTTTTTTATTTATGCTAACTCCTCTAATAGTTTACTCGACTTTAAAGAGCTATAACGTGATTTGGTCACTGTAATACGATGTTTCCGGCGAGTTGTTTTTAAAGACATCTTTTATAGGTCTATTTTTTTTAAATATTGGTGGTTCTAAAAATAGTCACATCCTTATTATATGATTGTAATAATAAAATTAACGAGAAATAATTAAACAACGATATACTTACCTATGTATATCTTAATTGTTTTTAGTTATTTAATTATACATAGTTAGGATAAAAAAGAACTATTTTTAACAATACATCAATAAAGGTCTAATTTTTTCTAGGTCCTAGAGATTTAACATACCTATAGGTTTTGTTAAGCAAAATGAACCATTCATATTGAAAAGAAAATAACAATATCTGATATATGCGATCGGGTAACATAGTGTGCATATGTTAACTTACTATTTGCAATATGCAATACCATTTCGACTGTAGTTGCTTTTGGAAGTAGTCGTGTGTTATTATTTTTAAATACTTGGTACGTACTACGAATATCTTTCTACGTATTTGTAAACACACTCGTATATCAGTAGTTTTCACCGATTTAAAGCTTCAGCTATGTTTTATAAATAATGATCATTCGCAACGTCGGACCAAACGTTTTTCGGTTGAAATTGTAAACAATCGCTGTTGCAGATTGCTTTATTGCCTTGTTTTAAATTACAGCACTCCAGTCCAGATCATTGTTTTAGCTTTAAAATGAGTATTGAAATATGAATAATATTTCAAAAATATTTCACAATAAAACATGGAATTATAAATCATTTTTTTAGGACTTGAGATGTTAGCCGTCGTTGAGTTTAATAGTTTATATATTTGATTTGATAAAATAATTTTAAATTTAACTTAAATTATCGCGTTTAAAACCGTTAAAATGTTTTATTTAAATTAATGATATTCACTAAACTACAGACAGTATTTACGTTATATAATATATTTCGGGTTTTAAACCCTAAAGAGTGTTTAATTACGTATATGTTTAATAACTTTCTCATTTCTATTGTTCTAGGCAAAATGGGCTGCTTCGTCAGTAAAGACAAACTCACGAAAGAGGATATGGATTTCCTCAAAACGCACACATCCTATGATGAGACGACCATCAAGGAGTGGTACAAGGGTTTCAAGGTAACATACACTATGTAATAATATCACTTAGAAGTATCAACTCAACGATTTCTTATTCTTTGCTATAAGCTGTGGTGGTTTTTCGCCACATACAAACGATCGTCGAAATATTTTTTGTATCATTTTAGAGCTGTGTGTCCAAAATATCTTACTTTTTCTTTAATGTATGGCTTCGGGTTTTCGGTCACTACATAACATAACATATCTACTGCCTTTGAATACAAAATATAATTTTTAGCGTTGTAATTATGATTTATTGTTGATATGACGTTTGTGAAAAATTTCCTATTCTATATTTCCACAGCAAGACTGTCCCAACGGGCGGTTGACGCCAGCGAAATTCGTAGATATGTACAAGATGTTCTTCCCTTCTGGGAACGCTGTCGAATTCTGCGATCACGTCTTCCGCACATTCGATATGGACAAAAACGGATACATTGATTTCAAGGTAACTTTTAATAACGGTAAATGATAAACGGCTGATGCGAAAGTAAACATTAATTTCATATGGAACTTGTGCGAAGGTGCTTTGAGCTTTGCGAATGAGTGTGTTTGATTGTGTTTCCGGCGTCAGGTAACGGGAGGCGGTGCTAGTTTGCTTGGGAAGTCAGCAAGTGTCGGTAAACATTGTCGCTTGCCTTGTTATAGGAATTCCTGCAGGCGATTCACGTTACGTCCAGCGGGACCCCGGAAGAAAAGCTCAAATGGGCTTTTCGTATGTACGACGTTGATGGAAACGGGGTGATCGATATTCAGGAGATGACTAAAATAGTACAGGTATGAATAATGGATTTGGTTCTAGCACTGCGCTCATGTTAAGTCAATTGCCAGCTACTTAGATGTGGTTGCGTTACACTGTATGTCACGTTTCGATAAATGATGCATTCTAAATTATGTAAAGGGTTCAATAAATCTTTCGGTAGTCTCTATTACGCCGCCCAAACTCGATAAAGTGTCTCGCAGAGAACGAAAATGTAATAGCCTCGATGTATCGGGTGCAGGTGTAAGATACCGCGTTGCAGGGAAAAGCTGCTCAATTTCCACTCTGAATATTCTCGTACAAGAAAATTTAAACCTCTTGCCGAAGATATTCCACTAGTATTTCGTGAAATTATATGGAAAGTGTATGAATCATTTCAACGATATCATAAGTGTATTTTGATTAGATAGAAGTTACATTCGTTACGATTGTTAGGCCTCGTTCACACTGTTTAAAGATAATACCGTGACATTCCAGGCGATATACGATATGCTGGGCGCCTGTTCAAGTAACAGGCCGGCGGACTCCGCCGAAGAGCGTGCCAAGAACATCTTCGCGAAGATGGACGAAAACAATGACGGCCAGCTGACACAAGACGAATTCCTCAAGGGTTGCCTCCAGGATGAGGAGCTCTCTAAAATGCTAGCGCCTTAAACACGACCATAACTCAGCTCACGTTCACCTTAATTATGTTCCGACAACACACACCGCATCTCTTTACAGCACAGGACCACGTTGATTTATCGATATTAAACTGCCAGCGAACAGCTCCCACCAACCCTTATTGGCTGACGGTGTCGTGACTTCTAAAATATAAACGAAGCGATCGTTTTTCTTGTGTATTTAATCAAAGCGCTGAAATCTCACTAAGGCTAACGTTACGAAATTTTAAAAATGTAAACCGTACCGTTACTAGTTACATACTATTCTACCATAAGAGTAATGAAACATTTGGCGATACAATAAAGCGGTCACTACTTGTCAATGTTTGTTAATTTTGTGATCAGAAGAATCGTCTTCGCGTAATGTAGACGATGGCGATTAGAAAAAATTAAAATAAAAAAATGTTAAGAACCTCTGAACGTGTTTACATTTATTTTGTTACGCTGGCCTTACAATACTTGTTTTCAACGGTTCCTGACAATTGTTTGATTGGTTAATCACACAATATCGCTGTCGGATTGTCTACAAATGTTGTATCCAAACCATCCACTAAAACCCCATACCTGATATCGAAATAAAATTATAATGTACATGGCACAATATAACATCACTCTTTATTTATTTAATAACAATTTTAGCTTAGGGAATTAACAGAATAGATTACATCAATTCTTCTCTTAAAACATTGATATTATTAATGTATAGGAATGTTTAATTTCCAAGTCCATTTTATCACCGCTAAATATTTACACGCTCTATAATAATTACAAGACCACGACGTGCAAGAGTACCACAGCTGTAGTACGTGACTTTGTTTAAATGCAACTAATTGCTTTGAGAAAATAATTTATAATATACATAAAGCAAGCTTGTCTGTAGTTTACGCGAGTGGTGCATTTTAAAATCTTTTTAGCTGTTTAAAACGCGAAATATACATAGCGCATTTGATTTTTACATAAGGGACGTCCACCATCTGTTATTACCTTTAAACATGGCTGCTGAAACTGCTATCTATTATTTAAAAATCATCTAAATTAATATATTGCGCGTTTTAAAACGTTAAAAAAAATTTTCGTACATTAAAATGTAGTAATTTTTTCTCTATTTTAAACGAAGTCTATATCGTATGCTAATGAAAACTCTTGCTTTGCACAAATATGGTACTGGTTTGCACAAATGTAGTACTCACAGTCTGGAATGATCTAATCTATTCTGTTGATAAAATAACTATTATACTTTGTCTGATATTGGGTGATAACTTTGACGATTAACAAGGGTTGGGTCGTACGTGAAGCTGGTTTGAAGATTTGCCATTCGTAGCATTTGAAACCTAAATGTCTATATGAGATAGACTATTAATAATAAAAATAACGTTATTTAAATTTAATAATTATTAAAAAATCACGATTTTTGTTTCATTGTATTCTATTGATATTGTTCGTTTGAAGGCACTTCACTAAGTTGCCTGACGGGTTGACCGTATTGACAGGTGTGGCACATGTCATTCATATACGATATTGGTGAGGCGTGGGCTGTAAATTTTTTTTTATATATTACACAAAGTATACTAGTTACATTTTACATGATACATTTCATTCAAACGATATCGGTGTTGTACTAATTAGTGATCGACTTAAATTGTATGAGATATTCTCTAAGAGTTTCTAATTAGCAATCGCATCAGAGCGAGATAAACTGAGCTTCGTTTTAGTCAATCCTATTCATTTCCTCTTCCTACTGTGCCTTCTACTCCATTTGTAAATAGTTTGTTCAATTCATTTCGTGTCGACGCTATATCATTTCAGTTGCACATTTTATCGTGTCCAACAATAGTTATCGAAAACAGAACCAATATAGTGTGCCCTAGTCCTTACGTATAGTTTAGAATATAATTTTATCGAAATGTTCCCGCAACACTTGCGGTATAAAGATTGTGTAATAGTTAACAGTGCAACTTGGAAATGTCTATCCCCATTGCAATGTTAATCTTAATCTGAATTTACAATTATGCCTGTTTTTATATTAATTTTGTTCACTGTTAACTAAGCAGCTATTTTACATTCCACGTTTCGATGTCATTTTAACATTATTTAAGTGGAAATTTTCAGAACTCGGTGCATTTAATATATATTCAATGTTTGAAAACTTGATCCTGTATCTGCACTTTGGCGCTTAACATGTGATTTGAATAACAACGCTATTGTCAGTATTATTTACATTTTATGATAAATATCAAGTAAATATGTATTTTGTTTAAGTGTTTGAAAAGGCGTTACCACGCAATTGGGTACTTGCTGCGTTAAATGGAAATTATGAAACACCAATTGCGAAATAGGTCACCGCTTTGAATGCCATCGTGGACGGATCTTTAGAATTATAAACATAATTTTAAAGCCTCTACTATTTTAAAAAGAGGAATAAATGGGGCGTCATATTTGAAAAAACTGGGCAAAATGAAGTTTTGACATAGTGAAAAGTACTACTGGCAGAAAAGTACCCAGTTTCGTTAATTTATCTCTTAGTTTGGTTTAAGACAAATGCTTCGCTATTAAGAAATGTTATAACCTACGATGGGATCAATATAAACAATTCGTTGTGCTGGCAGGGTTATGTAAACATATCAACATATTTTGCGCGACCTATTCGATGAGCGTGACTGTCCGCTATAATGAAATTTAAAATAAGCTTAAACTTGTGTTGTCTAATTTTCAATTCAAAAAAAAAATTAATGAAATAAAAGCAAATTACGAATTCATTTTACCGACTTTTGGTTTTTTATCTATTCAAGTTTTTCGTGATTTGTCCAAGTCATGGACAGTCAACGCGAAGTAACGCAGATTATATTACTTCTATTAAAAATTCCACTTATATAAGTTAAGAGAAAGATTTTCTCAAAGACGCTGTATAATCCAATTGATATTGCCAAGTCAGCACGCACAGAACTGTTTATCATTTATTGCACGTAAAAGATCTATACTTTAGTGGTCTGTACTTAATGTGAATTTATGATAGTCAATTGTTGTAACTATTTTGGTAAATGTTATGTTGTCTTCGTCAAAAATTGTTATTGAAAAGGTGTTAGTACACACATTTTTCCCGCTTACGTCGCTTATACTTAAAATTTACTTTAACAACTGTCCTTATGTATACACCCTATTTTTTATGCCCATAAGCTAAAATTCTATATATTTTATACCACTTTTTGCTACTTATAAGGAAATGATTATTTTCGAACAGCCTCTTATTTACCTGCGTTAGCGCACAACTAACATTCCTCTTTTTCTAAACTTTTATAATATTCATGTACGAATATATTTAATAGCACATTAATAATAATTAATCTATCAATTTTAATTTATGTGTATTAGTTGATAAGTAACTATAAATTTATATACTTAATAGAAATTTCAAGCACAATTCTTTTATATAAACCTTATATTATTTATGTAGTATGTGTCATAGAATAGATATACAATTAGGTAATGTACTCTTAAGGGTTTGCAAATTGCGTAATATTTTGAAAAGGACTATCCTCGCTCGAAACACCAGCGTCGAAGCGTTAGCACAAAATATTAAAAGTACACTTCATATCTCGGTTAATTGAGGATGGTTCTTCTCGTTTAGAAGCATTACATTTGTAATTAATTGCCGTGTTCACCAGCTATACCAAAAAGCGATCCCACATAGAAACGAGACATAACACTGTCTCGTTTCTATTAATACAATCAGAACGAGACGAACAGAGAACGAAGAGGATTATGCGAACACGGCAGTTAATATTTTAAAATTAGTCTTAAAAATTCCAGTCCATTCAACTTGTCAATATTCGAAATTCATAATTAAAAATGATAATAACATAAAACGTTGTCACTTAATAAAAATAAAGAAAAATGATTTACTTTGACCAGCAAAGCTTAACTTTGTTAGGTGGCAATGAGTTACTTTGGTGTCGATATTAATTCCGTTATTGTTTAAAGTAACAACAAACTTATACTCGGTAACTTAGATTGAATTGTATATTAGAGAAATGTATGTCTTGACAGAACTATAGGTCCATACTTCCATTTAATGAATCTCTAAGTCTGACCTATGACCTATTTTGGTTTACTATGTTAGTGAATCGCACGCCGTGTAGGTTTTTAATATCCCTGGCGTCGTTAGAGTAATAGGCACCTGTAATAGATGGAAACACCATCTACCCCTCATCAATTTTCTGTGTATTTTTAATGATTCACGTTTTGCCTATCCATGTATAATATACAAATTACAAAAAATGGCATCTAGTTTTTGTCGTAATCAACAATCCTTTGGTTACGCGTTTATTAATGTCGTTTCACATTGTTTAATTTTTGCCAGCTTTATTTTCTCATGGTAATATGTGAGGTTTGTATTAAACGAATGCAAAGTTCAGTAGAGAAGTGTTTTTTAACTTAGAGATGTTATTTTTAATATGTATTTTATTCTAATTTCTTTTAGGGCACAGCACTAACTAAAGGAGATATATCGGGTAATAAAGATTTGACATAAATAGATAAGCAATAATAAAATAGGACAAAATGGGAAAACAAAATAGCAAACTGAAGCCGGAGGTGCTCGAAGATTTGAAACAGAATACGGAATTTTCAGGTGAGCGTTATATTTCTTAATTGAACTGCTATCAAATTGCGACATAATCACAGACAATAAATAAAACGACACTTGCATTCGTTATTTATTAGCTCTCATTTCGCCTTTCAGATGCTGAAATTCAGGAGTGGTACAAAGGTTTCCTGAAAGACTGTCCAAGCGGTCACTTGTCTGTTGAGGAGTTTAAGAAAATATATGGAAACTTCTTTCCATATGGGGATGCTAGTAAGGTATAATAACTTATAGTTTTCCAATGTTACCTGCTTAGTACACAGTAGGTAAAAACCTCATATTGTTTTGATGTTGTATGGCTCGAGAACTTCACCTAGCATCAAGTAATTGGGTTTAAACTTGTCTTGTCTTCCTCCTCTATCGTAAAAAAGTTTAGTTATTTCTTCTGTTGAGTCCTTCCAAGGCACCGGTAGGTTATTTTATTCATAACAAAGGTCTTAATTTATTTTTAATACCGGCCGTAATTATAAATATTCAGTAATACTGGGTTAACAATTAAGATCTTTTTTTCAGTTTGCAGAACATGTTTTTCGAACGTTCGACGCAAATGGGGACGGCACTATAGATTTTCGGGAGTTCCTTTGTGCCCTTAGCGTGACGTCACGTGGAAAACTCGAACAGAAACTAAAATGGGCCTTCTCCATGTACGACCTTGACGGTAATGGTTATATATCACGACAGGAAATGCTTGAAATTGTAACGGTATGTATTCTTATCATTTGTTTATAAATGCCTTTTGTGAGGCTCGAATGTTTTGTCTGGTGTCTTAACTTTATTTAATTTTATGTTTAGTTCACTACTCATTAGACTCGTGTCTATTCAAGCGTTAAACACATTGTACTGTATTTAAACAAAACTCTTTTTATCAGTTTTAAACGTGAAATATATTCGTATTAGTTAACTTTACTACTCGTGTAAACTATAGACAATGCCTACGTGGTACTGTATACGTGTAAAAAATGGTCACACAATTGTGTATTAAAATTTAGATTACATATATATTTATGTTCTAAATAAAACAACTACTACAATGTTGCTGTAATAATTTTTGTTTTCAACGCCATCTATCGTCGCATTACTCTGAACTTTTATTCAGTGCCCTCTTGTGAAACTGTGTGGAATTACGTTCCAGGCTATCTACAAAATGGTGGGATCCGTAATGAAGATGCCCGAGGACGAGTCGACGCCGGAAAAGAGGACGGACAAAATATTTCGACAGATGGATAGAAATAAAGACGGAAAACTATCACTGGAAGAGTTTATCGAAGGAGCCAAGAGCGATCCTTCCATTGTACGACTTCTTCAATGCGACCCACAATCACAGTGATACCTTAAATACTAAATAAAAGATCGGGAAATCCCTCGGTCGAACCATGCTAGGCAAATCTATTGTAAATTATCACTTACCTGCTTCTAAGAGCTAGTGCGCGGCGTTAAGCATTACAGCATATAAAATCTCTTAAGATCATTGTCCTGCTGCTTGGCTGTTGACGTATTCTTCCTTTTGTGTTCGTGGCTAAAGCCTGGTATATCCATATCTTAGTTTAGGTAATGAATATATTAACCTAGAATCACTCTTTCGTTTGATTCGGACACGACGCAAGGGCGTATCGATTTTAAGGTCTAAATTTGTGCATAGTCGTTAATGTACCTGAAATGAGATTTTGGAACACCAATATAATTAGCTAGTTAAGGCGCTGGTAACTAAAGGAGGTGTCTGGTAATCGCCGATTTTAATTGTCCACAATTGGTGGTAGACAGCATATTCAAATCAGGCGGTACTGACCATGGGAACAAAATATTACTAGTGATGACGCAAAATTAGTGTGATTGGATATTATAGTCTTAGTGGCTCTTGCGTTATCTCTGAATCGCCTTCTCGATATATCATTAGTGATTTTAATCATTAAGTACTTATTAAGTGAACGCAACCAGACATCAGGACAAGAAATGTGACTGTCAAATGTGTTTTTCCCAATTATTACTGTAGGTAGGGTAGTATCCACGATTTAGCGGTCTAATATGGGCGTAGGCCCGAAATATCGAACGCAATTTTACCTTTTCGCTATAATAATCTTCGATCATTGTTATATGGATTTCTTTCGAATATTTGAACGGTATTTAAAATCTGTATATTGTGGTGGTCCTATATCGACATATACTTGAAATAAGCTTTTGTGTTTAGAGTGCTAATACATTGTGTAATTATATATCGGTTAATTATATACAATTGTCTACAATTAATTGACAGGTAAGACGAAGGATCTGAACTGTATATTACATTTGAATATCGTATTATGTGTAAGTTGAGATGAAAATTTAATTTTACATTTGCGTAGGGTCTCTGAATGTTTTCGACTATGACAATAAATATTTAAACTCAGCGCACGATTGTTTTCACCAAATAACAAAAACGTACTTTTGGACGGCACCTTTGTTCATTGATAGGTTATCGATATAAATTGTTCAGGCGAAATTTCAATCGGCAATGTACAATGTACTGTATATTTTAATCATCGTGTGTTAAGAGTGCCTGTTATCAATAAAAGCAATAACCGTAATAAAGTGTAGTACAAAATTGTTATGACGTCACAATAATACATTTTGTTCATTGTTTTAAACAGAGCGTTTCATATACACGTACGAGTAATTAATTGTAATAAAAACGTTCAGACATAGCTTAATATTCTAAGACTTAGTTTTAATGTGTTAAAATCTAATCATAAATAATATTGTGAGTCAGTCTGAGTATTATTCGTTTATTTTAATTGGTTTTTTAGAAGTAATAATATATTATCGTTAGTTTTTAATATGTGAGTCGGCGATCGAGGGAACTGCGTTTTCGTAGTTCAGTTCATTTGTTTTTCCATTTGTGAACTAAGAATTTTTAATAGATTTTAGACTGTGTTGCTAGTTAATCAATTCCGATTTTACCATAATAGGTATACTTAATTTTGCAGTTTACATTATATATAGGGTGTCGCCACACTTATTACATTTTTAATTAGTATGGCTTGGCAAGTTCTGAGCAAAATTGTATTAAACTCGTCCTAGTAGTTTGGGCGCAGAAATTATTTTTTGAAATCAGCAAAATATTCAATTTCATTAATTTTATTCATAATGAAGGATATTTCATTTGTCATCTGCTAGTTTCAAAAACATCAATGGTGTGATAGAAAAGTTAACCCACTTTTGTACTACATGTTTACTTTGCATGAAAAAATTAACTCTTCTGAAGTTCACAATAATAATTAAATAGTTATTACAAGGAGTATAATGTAAAGGCAATTTTAATGTGATAAGTGGCAGAACCCTGTGTAAACTAATTATCCGGGACAATTTCAAACGTTTTACTTTTTGTTTGCATAAATAAAATTGAAAAAAGTTTCGACGAGGAAAATTCACGAATGGAAAACATGATTATTGAATTAATATTTCTTTACATGTTATTGCACATGAAGGCACAATATAATTTAGAAATCGTCATCGTCAGCGTTCCGTGCTGTTGCTCAGAACGCTGACGATGCCGGTTCAAGTACTGCCCGAGTCGAAATTTTTTTCAATTTATTTTCGATTTTTAAATGATTATTGAATATACTTTTAGCCTTGTCGAAACGATTTGATGGAATGAGCTTAGTACAAATTGCATCATACTCGTAGATTACTAACTTTAGATTTTAAATGCTTATTCTCTATAATTTTAGCGACTTAATGGTTTAACCATTAAATCGCTCAGAGGAACATCTTTATGATTATATCAAAGAATTCTTACTTGAAAGAAAAACGAATGTTTAATTTAAATCAAAGTATTCGGTACTTCTTTTGTTTCCTCTGGTCATAATTCCACGTACAGTACTTAGGTACACGTCATGTACGTTAAGCCACTTTTTTGTTGCTAAATAACGAATCACTTGTAAGGAATAATAAAAATTAGTTTTATTTTAACGAATGTGACTTGAAAAATGAAAGACATAATTTATTAATTTAATCGACGAAGTGATATATAATAATTATTTATTAATAGTATTTTGAATATTTGTGGCGGTATCAAAGCAACAGTAGATACAAGGAATGTGTTCTTTGTGAAAGGTCTTTGAACAAATTAAATTTTGCTAATAATTTTAATCGTTCCCCTCTTTCATACTTTTAGTAAAGGATGACTTTTGTCTTGTTACTCTAGTCTTATTGTACGAGTAATAAGGAATAATGTGAGTATTATATTTATCATCTGAGACAGCAATAAGAATACATATATTTATAGTGTTTACTCGCGTATTTAAAATTGACGGACATTTAAGCGAAATTGAAAAGGTAATTGTTTCACCTCATGCCCCACAGGGGAAATGGGGGTCGTACGAATTGTACTTATTTTCTTTTAAGTATATTTTTATTTAATTCTCATCGTGTGATCCTATTGGTCCACTCTGTGCTTATAACAAACCTATTATCTAAATAATGTATTATCTATACCTTTACGATTGTCGACTCAAATAATATAGTATAGTATTAATTATAATTTATTAATTTGTATTATACCATATGGATTATGTAATTTTATTAGCTTTTAAAAGTAATTATGTCGACCGTTATATTGACTGTAAAGGGGCTTTGAACGGGCGATTCGGTTATTTAGAACTCGAGAAGCCTGTTTGAAATCAACAAATTGCAACAGAACTAACTCCATTTTGACTATAATAAGGATAGGTTACTGCTCATATATTATTTTACACGTGGCAAAGCTACAGTGCTATATATTAGGTTCTATCCGTGACAACAGAAAAACAGTCGGGACATGATATGGTAATCGTAACTTTATATTCTAAGACGGGAAGTGTTTTAACATCTCCTTTTATAAGTGTATCTCGCTTGTATAATCAAAAATACTAATCGAAATTTAATATCGCGACTTTGGAATCAATGACATGGGCATTTAATAATTTTTGCGTGGCTTTAATAGCGCTATAATAAGCGCTTACAGACTGTTGGTAAGTGTTACATCATAACTCCAAGCTGTAAGCGTCTATGAGTACCCAAATAAGCTTAACGAAATGCACAATTTGTTTTATATCGCACAATTAACCTTTAGCTTTGTTAATAATCGTTTATGCGTTTTGTAATTTATTTAATAATAGTGTAACGTCACTATTATCATGTTAAAACGGTTGGTGCAAATAAATATATCCAGCTTCTGTTATAACAAATATTGCGAGTTGAACTTTCTTGGTTCTTAACCGGAAAACACTGCCCCAAAAATCATTTGATTGGACTATATGATATAGCAAGATTCGTAAATATGCAATAATAGTATTTAGCTTCGGTGACTAGCTGAGAGTGTAACTTCGTGGATCGTAATATCGAAAGTGACATTTGTGTAGGCAGAGAGCCCAGCGTGTAGTTTCTTTGCGCATAGGCAAATCGGCAACACGGAGCCATCGCTGTTATAATATAAAAGAGATCAATATTTTAATAGGTAATTTTAATCGCGTTTCGCGTATCAATTGTTAGATGTTCGTGATAAATTTTATGAAAATTAAAGTTATCTGAATGTTCTTATGTACGTTGACGCTATCACTTCACACGTTCTTGAAAACACTTAATCTTCATTATTCTCACTTAATCTCAAATTATTCGTAGATAGGACGTATTATCCCAGTAGTTAGGGTTTATCTTTCTATACACAGTTCTCTACTCTAATGTCGTTCGCAATTGAACGAACCAAATGAGTCATTCCTTCTTGAGCTAAATTAAATCAAGTCATTCGCTCGACTGTCTCTGACTCATGTCTCTGACCGGATCGAAGGATCTAGATCATTTTGACAACGCTTCACAATTGGTTCGTTTCTTTGCGAATGAACGAGCGACGCGAGAAGCGATTTTTTCTTCCTTCGTTTGACTCAACTGAGCTGCGTATTTATTTTATTGGCTGTCCACACAATGCGGCAACGTCGCCCCAACACGTTTCTAATCTTTAACGTCTCCCTCTATAATTTCAAACTATTTTAGAGTAAAATCAACATTTGAATGTATACCAATCGACATTTGTCAAAGACAAAATATATCATGTGTCCTATAATATTGACGATAAGATACAATTTTAACGTAAAATTTGTCTTTAATGTCCTAGTGTTTGGATACTAATTAAGTAACTTTAACGGACTTGATCGGTTAAAGCTTACTTATCTTACTTCGACTTTAACTTATGTGGACGATTGATTCTTTTTGTCTTCCAGTACTTTAAGAAGTAGTAAACAAGTATTATTGGCCTTATATTTGGATAATTTTGTAATACTTTAGCCTCAGTTAGTTTTAGCTGCCGATAGCGTAGGTGGGATATAGGTGCATGCTTATTTATGTAGTCTGCCTATATAGACTTATTTTTTTCAATGTATACCTCGTGTAGCACTCGAAATCCAAAATCCTTTTCGAAACAATTAATTATCTTTTATTATGACAAAGTGTTAGTTCACCATTGATTATTATTATTATCTATTGGTGGAAAAAGTAAAGCCAGATTCTGCATAGTACACCTCTACGCAATATCATTTATTTGTAACAGCGCCATCTTCTGCTTCGTTTAAGTATTAATTTCAGTGTTTCCGAACCGTCAATTCCGTTATGCATAATTCACACATTTTATCCACGGGACTAAGAATTGTATAACTATAACTTAGCTAGAAACTTTCTCTTATAAAAAACAAATAATATTTTTGCTCTCCACATAACCTTGTATCCGCTTCTCACGCCTCTACTAAACTCTTATGTATAGGAGAAAAATATAATACGCGTTCAATATACCACAATTTTATAATGTATTATGATATTAAACTATATTACGTTTAAGTGTTGCCATGAAGTTACTGTAGTTTAGTGTAAAGTTTGGTTAACTGGTACCGTGAATTCAGGGTGCTTTACATTAAGATGTGGAGGTATTGGTGCATTTTATTAAAAATTCAGTGACGTGATCTCTTTAAAAACAATAAAGATAAAGGTGTACGCACATTTGATTAATTGACGTTTTAAGGGTCGATCCAGTTTAATAGACAAGATTTTTAAACTTGAAAATAGCGAATGCAGAAAAAAGTTACCAGTAAACAGATTTTAACAATAATATATCCAATCCAAAATGTAAAAGGCTTATATATGATTAATAGCCGATGCAACACTAAACTCTCCTCCCCCCCCACTGGATCCGCCCTGGCAATCATTTGATAATTTTATGAGACCTTGTGTCTGCTTATCTGCATCTTATTTCGAAATTCTAACATCGACTTTGTATACTTAAACTTCGAATATTCAAAAGTTATAAACTACGATCAAGTTGTGCACTGCGAAGGTTTCTACTAATCTAGTCTGTACTTTACAGTGTAGATTTTAAATTGCTATTCTAATATTGTACACGAACTTGTGATATGGTACTACATATCACATTTCTTTTATACTTAAACACTTGATATCGTTTGGCTCACTGTCAGCTATAGCACCCTGTTTTTGGAAAGACATTTCTAGGTCTGAAACTTATTTACGGCTCAAAATGGCTTCTGTATTGAATTAATGACTAATATAATATTCTCGATATTTCAGGATTATTGTTATGTGTAGTCAATTTATTTCAAAATGACCTTGTTCTGATACCGTTTTAGATGTAAAATTATTGTATCTATTTATTAAATCTTTCTTCTCTCCAATGTAGTTTGATTTTAATTAACGGAAAACCAATAAAAACTCCCAATATTGCTTTTATAGTATAAAAGATTTTACTTATATATATTTAAGTCGAAGTAGAATTTTAATAATCAAAGCCTACCTATAATGTTAAAAACGTATCTAAAATATGTATTGTACTAAAGTTAATGCACTTTTGTTTAAAAAAGAAAATTAAAGAAGACCCCTATCATATTAATTAGACACAAGACTAAGAAAAGTATATAACTTCGACAGCACCATTCATTAGATGTTACAGTGCTACTACAATCAGGAGAATTCCAAATGTATCTGTAATAAAACTTAGTTAATCCATTCTCGTGTACCTTAGCAATAGAATCTACACAAAACCACGACAACAAACAAAGTAACAGTCTTAGTAATTCTCATAGATCTTCGTTCGCAACCTATAAAGGTGTTTTAAATATCAACGTAAATAGTTCACCCCTAGCGACCTATACCTTTACTCGCGTCACGTTACTAGGTTGATATATTCACGTCAACCTATTCTTAATTAGTAAATTAGACGTGTTTCAATTATTTATTATTTGCTAGAAAGTATGAAATCTCTCTGGATTACGAAAAATTCAATTTCTGGAGACCTGTTTTTTAATATCATTAATTGTTTTTGTCCAAAACCTAGGAGCAGTTGTCAAAGTTTATTTCCTACCCAGCGTCTCAATGTGCGTGCTAAAAATATAATTACAATTAAAATAGGGCCGGTGTATGGTTCATTTGTATTTAATCGTCCAAACTAATACGTTCGCTAAATTGATTTGAGCCCCACTCGGCTAGTTGTTTGAGCGGAGGTACCGTTCTAAATTGCGTATTTAAATAAGGCTATATATACATATGGGTTTATGGAGGTTGGCAGAATTAGTTCTCTATGTATGGTGTGTACTATGAGGCGGCTGCGGGTGCGAGAAGGGTGTTAGCCACCTACAGGGTGGTGTTTAGGACGCGCCTAAGGGGCTACGTCCAGATAAAGTAAAATATCCTGGTATGAGGGAGGCCAGCATTGTCAAGCTTGTATGTATAGCTTTAAACTATATATCGCCTTGTATTCCATAGAGGTATTTATTTACATAATACATATACTATTTTGCTATGCGGATATCGGAAATGGAACAGGTTGGATAAGGGCGTTTGAAAATTTTCTTACATTTTTCACATCTGTATAGCTAGTGCTTTAATGACTCGCAATTAACGTACGTTTTCTACTTTATTCTGAAATCGCATACTACACGTAGCATAAACCCGATATATTTTTGTGTATGTTTAACTAATCACTTACTTCTTCTGCTAAAGCTATTGTATTTTTTCAGCATTAAAACCAAGGACCTCTCGCGCTTAACGAAATAACTTAATATGTTTATGACACTTAGATGTCGTCCAATCTGGGTTATATGAAATCTTGTGAATAAACCTTATTATAGTATTACATACTCGTATGGATATTATAACATTCTCTACAGTATCAAGTATAATATAATTACGTAAAGATTCGGAACTTCTACTTTATGTTCTTTATCTGTTTGCTTGGGAAACGAGACCGCAGATATAGCTACCTACCTCAAGATGATGAACATGAAAGGGTTTAATTGTTGAAGATAAAAAAGCAATTTTTTTTTCTTATTGATTCTTATGATTTTCAAAATTCTACAGTCAAATTATTCTACGCTATAGATTGTAAAGACGTTGATTTTCTAATATTAGTAGCTAGTTTCCCAAATAAATATTTAATTAGGCTTTCATTTTAAATATCCCTTGCTTATCAATAGAGGTAAATCATTATTTTAAGATCATATTTCTTTCTACTATCATCTTATACAAACCTTTAGATTTGAAGACAAAACGTTTGATTTAAACAATCAATTAAATACCTTATTCTCGGTTATATTACAGTTTACACTGCATATTGGAAATTGATGTAAAATTGAGATCGGCTAAAGTCCAAAGCGATATGTCTAACATAACAAATAATTGTGATGTGTCCGCTATACCTCACCACCTTCGTCCAGTTTCATCTTTCAGATGTAATTTCAAAAATTTTCCCTTTTGCCTCGAGAAAAATAAATATACTTAAACCCGACCCTCGGGCGGAAAGAGGAAAAAATATTAAAAATTAAGTAAATATTTGTATAACAGTTATGTAAACATCTCTAATTACGACCTGTTCAAATTATTTTTTTTACCGCCATACGGACCGGGGCTAATTAACATCTACAAGAGGTAGTAAAATTGCGTTATCATTGTAAATGGTGGCAAATGTTTAATGAACTTCCACCTTGTCTGCGCAAAAAGCGATGGAAGAATCTTGAAAGTTTTCGTTTCTTCCAAGACGAAGGAAGTCATCAAGAGTATGTGGGACCTGTTGCGTCAATAACCGCGTCGCGATTGAAATTTTAAGTCTTGCCTGAATAAGTACGTTGCAAAGCGAGGCTCTACGGTTCCGTTTCTATGTAGCGCACGTAAGGCCTGTGTCCGCTGCCCCCGTGGTTACCCGTTCGGAACGGCTCGCCCTCTAGCCACCCCCTGCCACCCTTCACCCTCTTTAAAAGCCAGTGGCGAGCTTCAAGAGAAAGTGCCGCGTGTGTACACTCACATGCGTAGAACCATCTTTGGCGAAACTGGCGCGAGGCTGATGGGGAAAGCGGATTATGTGGAGAGGACACCCCTTCCCCGTATGCGTAACTGCGTATACAAAGCTCTCCTACATACATTTGCATAGTGACATTGTACGGTAATAATGTATGTGACCACCCGCGGCCTAAGACTTCCGATATCGCTCGGACTTCTGCTTTGCGCCCGATCTGGCCCCAGCTACACGTCCCAGTTTTACAGCGCGGGAATTCAATTAAAGCGGATCTTTTCTTAGCCTATAAACTGAGAGTAATTTTGAAGATGATAGACGAATAAATCGACATTTCTCTCTTAAGATCTCCGGCTTTTTAACTAGAGGTAATCTCACCCGAATTGAGTTTTACCGTGACGTGTTAAGGACGACGGCTCGTGCGTCATTATAGGTAATTGGTTTTTATTCGACGAAAATCGCCAGTCTGTGTGAAGTGTGTAGATGTAGAAATTCAATTTACATATAATCAGGAGAGTGCGTATAGGTAAGAGGATTTCTTGAAGTTTGATCGATATGAGGGGGCGAGGGGGGTGGCTCGGACGCGCGCTTACAGCGGGCGCGCGTGTGTGTGCGTGTATCTCGGACATGCACGATACGCAGATTTCTCTAACGATTTTCCCGGAGTGTGAAATGTAAAATAAGGGGTTAGAGGAGCCTGAGCTTGCCCCTCCCGCACCCCACCTTAGTAAATTGATGACCAGCCACTCGCATGGAAATCGGTTCAAATTTAACACATATCGCATTAAACAGACGATCCGAGCGTTAATGATTCTCTGCGATGCCTTTAAATTAAGGAACGTTGAAGATTACATAGATATTTCTATATCTACTACATACACAGACAAGGCAGGAAAATAATTACCATCGGCTCTCTTATAGTTCCCACTGCTGGGACTTGCAACACCTATGTTTCTATTGGCTTTCAAGTAATTACGCCGGACGGAATGTCTCTTGGACTAAAAAAATTCAAATTCTTTTTTAGTCTAGAACACGGCAGTTTTTAACGATATGTATCTTCAGCGAAAAGAGCTCAATAAAAAGTACCCAAAGTAAATCTTAGGTGCACGACTAGGAATCGAACCTAACCTTAAAACAAATAAAAGGATGTAGACATACCACTATACTATCTAATCATACCTCGTACAACATTGCTACATTAACAACATAATAAAACTTTCTAAGTTTCGTTTCATAACAAAGCATAATAGTTTGCAGCCCAAATGAAGCGTCCGGGATGAAATAACAGTGGTTTGAGGCGAAACCGGTTCTGCCACCCCCGCAGCTAACAGTAAATCGTTTTTTATCTGCTGCATTCCTATGCACCCCATCCCTTATATGTGACTATCTGAATAAAGGCATGGGATTCTTAATCGAAAACATTTTTGACTTAACTTTCATCTATTGTACTATTCTTAGTTAAGCTAATATTAAATACGTAATATTATTAAATACGCTTAGCATAAAAATTCTACTAAAATAAACAATTCAAATATACAAAAAAATTGATAAAGGGATCTTCAATTCAAAATAAAGCATACTTCACGGACATTTCGATAATACATATTTGCAAATACAAATAGTAATTATTACATTTAAGCATTTTTAAAGCATTTTATTTTCTTGTGTTAACATATTTGACGTAAGTAAAAAACAAATCTTACATCCTTGAAACCCAAACACTTCTTATCGTTGTTCTAAGAACGTATTAATAATAATAATTGAAACCATATCTCAAAACAATAGTTCAACTATGTCGCCCATTATGAGCTTATCATATTGCTTGTATTTTATTACTAGGATTACGTCAATCTCCTCTCAGTGTTGTATTAAAAACACGCTTATCTGTATCACAGATAATAATATCCAATGAGTTTTATTACTTCTTGGTGCGTGTAATCCCAAGAGCGCGTTTAAAATACTTTGTTCCAATTCCAAATAATTAGGGTAGTTTTGTGACTTTTACGAATTCTTAGTCGGTAGGATTAAGACTTTAGGACACTAACATTAAAATGAGGATAGTTCCTTCTAATATTAATAATGTTAAATTTTGTCAAGATGTAAGAATATTTGTTACTCTTTTACGGTCGAATGGCTTCACCAATTTCGATGAAATGTATCTAGAATAACACTTAGACCCTGTCCTGATAAGATTTCACGTTTATCCGTTATAAACGAGAAATTTTTATACTACTTTGCTAAAATTTTTATAAAAAACACTATTTGAGTCGTGGCGTGGCTACCAAGTGGCTGACTATATGTGTATTAGTACAAAAATTTTGATTATTGTATAATATTGTAAGGTACTTTGTAGCTCAATATATATTTTTTTAATACTGACGAGGTCGGACAATCTTGGGGATATACCTCATCGAAGGTGCGTAAGAAGCGCTTTACACCTATTTTGGGTTTAGAAATTTAGGATTCGTACGCAATTTCGACATTACTACATCTATTTAAAGTCTAGATTATCCAGACATGTTTAGAACAATCATAAAATAATTCACAAGCACGTAGAACCCGGTAGAAATCGAACCTATTTTATTAATTGCTAATATACTTAGAACCAGCTTCAAAACATTTATAGTACACGTGTACTATAATTCGTAATATCAATAACCTACGCAACAATGTTGTCTACGCGTAAAGCACCTTAAAATTAAATCGCACGTGTTGCGAGAGCAGGCACTGTGCGTATTGTTTTCGTTATTGCCCACTGGTGTGCCCTATTCTTTTTTTGAATGCTCACCTATTCTACAACATAATAGTGCACTGTTCTGTGTGTGGGTGATTTTCTTAGAATTCCGACGTTTACACTGCGCTTCTTGCGTGTGTGCGATATGCGTTCGTGTAAATGTATTCACTTTTTACACTTGTGTGCGTAATGATGCGATGTTGCTAGAGAACTTTTTGGTGCATTCCTGTAAATTTGACAACGTCGCGCAATTGAGACGACCGCTTTGTTTGGCGCTTCGGGTTGCTATAAGTTTCGCTTTGTAGAACTATTTACAATATTAAACCTTTGGTATTCATATTTAACATTAATTACATTTTTAATACAATTAAACTAAGTGAATAATAAATAACAACAATTATTGGTAAAACACGTCCTATTTATAAGTGATGAAAAAAACATTTTTTAATAAGTACAACAATCTTATATTATCTTATTTGTTTGTAGGTATACAATAATTAAACTTCTTAAGTATTTCAGTTATTTCAGGCATGTACAAAAAGACACAAAAAAAACTATATACCTAACCTAACATGCAGGCTAGACAGTCAGCGTTCGAATTCGAAATTACAATGTTCTTCCCAGGTTTCGATAATTAAAGTCATAGAATTTTTAATGACGGCCTCGCTTTTGGTCCCAGTCAAAACGATTCAGTCAAAATCGGATGACACATGTTTGCTACAGATATACAAACAAATGTTTTGAGTTGCTTTTAAGAATTATAGCATAATCATGAACTAGCATAGCGTTATGCGCGAAAGAACTTGGGCTCATATCCCTGAGTATAAATTCTGTTTTCGAACAATTCGGCTAGGCGGGCCGGCTAGTTTATTAATGTCACCCATGCTACGTGTAGTATTTAGGTTTCTTTTAAGTGCCTAAAATTTACTTAAAAATTAAGACTAATTTAAATATTGATTCACCTCCAACTTTTGCCAGCTGTCAGCAGCATCATTATTATTATTAAAAATAATTTTAAAAATGAATAAAAATTATTAGTTTCATATTAATTCTCGTTTGTTCTATTCCCTTCTTTGAAAAATCGTATTTAATGAAAAAATCTATTGTGCTTCTGTTTCTATATTAATTTCGATATAAATTTTAGAATACAGGAATAAGTATTGTCTGCAGTCTAAGCGAGTTATATAGATACTTTTAATATTAAATTATTTACGATTTATTTTTACTGCCCTCCACAAAGCCATTACACACGTATTGGCTTTATCGCTCAGGTATTACAAAATACCTACGTCGGCCATAATAAAATTAAAATGTAAATAAATTAACTATTATATTTCGCGATTTAAAACGTGAATAATTAAAATATAGGATTTCTAGTTGAATTTACGTTTCAAGACCTAAACTACACACATGAATCAATAATTTTAGCTTTTCAACAAATCTTCATTCAGACTCCGGACTGTTTGTGGGGGACAAGTTAGGTGAAATTTTTGATTTTAGAACAAGCGAAAAGTAATATTTTTGGACGTGATTGTCAATTGAAATGCTGACTTTACGATAGTGAGGCAGATTATAGATAAAGAATTTTTTATACGATAAAACATAATGTTGCGAATTTTGCATCATGCGCATGCGCATAACCTTTGAAGAGCGATTAGTAATCGCCGAATAATAACACGTCTGGCGATTCGAAAACGTTATTGAAACGGGAGCGTTCGTAGAATTTAGCTCCATCAATGTGACCTCAGCGCTAAAGTCAAATCTGAGACTGAATTTAATTACATGGTTTCAAAGCAATCTAGTGTTCTAGCTAAGTCTTGGAGGCCATTTTTCAATGAAGGCAGCGCCTACGCGTTAAACGCGTTATGTTAAGCGCAAATGGACATGGTTCGAGTCCTGTCTAATAAAAATTAGTTCACAAGTCTAATAAACTATGTATTTTGCTTTAAATTATATATTATAATTATAGTATTTTTTCAGAATGGCGCGCGTATTGTTTCGTATCATGGGTTAAGAAGTAGGTACACAAATTATATGGCAACCTTTTTTGTTTAAGTACCTACTTATTTAATTTTACTTAAAGCAAAAGTAGGCAAAAATAAGTTTTTTCGCAGAGGTATATTTTGTCTTTTTTATGAAAGAAGATGCGAATAGGCAAGCATAGGTTTTACTTGATGATAGTTACCCTAGCTATCTAACATCTCAACAAGTTAAGATGTCGACCTATTTCGGCTTTGGATGTTCAGAAATCCACAGACGGAAACCGATACGCGATTTAACTTCACGCAACTTTCATCTGCAGACGGGAGCTGCATTTTATATCCAGATTTTGAGAAGATCAAAAAATTATGAACTTTTCAAAATATATTGGACTCGCTGCGGATCGAATCCACGTCCCATTGATTATTAGGCATAGGACATACGAGACAGATTTTATTTCACATTTGAGTTAAAGTACAATTGAGTATTTTGTAATTCTCTTTTATTATTCTCATTGATAACCTAAAAATGGGCTTTGTACCGCAGTGTAAAATTTGTACTTGTTTGTTTATAGTCAAAAAGGGACTTCCATAACTAGAAACAAACAGCGATGTTAATCAAAATGGATTGAATTTTTTTATAAATAGTTTTCGCTGTTTGAATTGCATTTGAATTATAACAGAAATCCAGTTTCCCTTTCATTCGCAATGACAATCTATGTTCTAATCTAATATTCCACTAAAGTCATTAACTTACCAGGAAGTATTTTTCTAAGAACTCTTTTTAACACCACCGCGATAAGACATGAAAAGTTAAGCGCAACACTCATGTTGTCTACGTACAATATAAGCGTAGGCGCAGATTACGAGTCTTTTGTTGTACATTCGGCTAATATTATAAAGAAAGATTATATCTACTTTTTTGCTGATAAGCAGCCTAACTAGAGCTTCAGAAAATTTAGTTTTAAAATAGAATAATAAGAAACTACACTATGGACAGCGTCGTAGATCTAGCCAGTAAACGACCCGGGTTCGAAACCCGAGTTAGCTAAATGTTAGTGAATGAATATATTTTTAAATAAAAGCATATAAGTATCGTACATCGTGCACGTAGCTCTGACGAGCAACCCTTGCTTCTGTGACGTATGCACAGCTTTTGGACTTTTATCGGTTTTATATTAGTTTAATGATTTAAAGTACTTTATTATAATTTAAATAATATATTTCGCATTTTGAACTGTTAATATTGTTTTATTATAGTGCGTTAACTATAGGCAATATTCAGATTTATAAAAAGTTTTTGTCGTACATAAGTAATCACTTCCATTTAGCATGTATAATATTTTTAACTCATTCGTTATTCTTAATAAACAGATTTTTAAAAGCACATATTATATTTAACATTTTATGCATTGTCAGTCTGTGGCTACTTAAGTGTATAAATGTTACAGAAATATGTATATAAAAATATCATTAAATTTCTGAGTTCTCAAAAGAAATATGTGTCACATTGGGCATATCTTGAATTTTTAATGTTATCCCAGAAGGCTCACACATGGCGTTTTACTGTAACCGTCCATCAATCTATATACATAAGAATTATGTGCCTAATGTTAGATTTTTTATAATACAAAACTCGTATATTTTATACTAAATAATGAAAACTAGTATTTTACCTATTTGGACGAAAAAATATTTACTTCTATTTATCACGTAAGTATTCCTAAAACTTGGTTATAACGAAATATATATAAACGAGTATTATAGATATTGTAGATATTATATTAATTATCTTGTAAATAATAAAATATTTTTTTTCATTATAATAAGAAAAGTCATAATTGTTTGCATGGGTAACTACAGTTATAACATTTTTATAGTACATATTTCAATATAACAATTTAAACGGTTTAAAACGCGAAACATATACTTGTACCTACTTCGGTCACCTCATGACTGCTACGAAGTTTCCGAATCGTTAAGATGTAGTTAATTAAATTGAAAATAAGTTAACTAATATATTTCGCGTTTTAAACCGTTCAAAGTGTTTTATTTAAATGTGTTATAAGCTACAAACTGTACACATTTATAATATAAATAAGGCACTTTGACGGCTCAAGTGCAAAATATACCTAGTTGATATTTTTTTTGTAAAACCTGACTTACACCGTGGGGTGACTAGAGATGAAAGATAAACACAAAAATGTATAGCAGATTAATTACTGCTACTCTTGCCTGTACTACTAACTGTACTATATATACAATATAGATAAATAACATATCATTTTATCTGGAAATATATGGTTTAGTTTGATTTTTGCAAAATACGATGTGAGCACATAAATGCTGGGACAGCGTAAAATATGTATCTACCTAAATTTTTCGATTTACCGAAACATTGTTAGAACCACTAATCGTAAAATTCCGTTTCTCTTTCGCACCAAGCGGACACAATTCTGTGCCGTGTCATTGATCGCTTTTATTTAAAGGCGGTTGAACTTTTGTACACCCAATAATCAATAACGTTTCCCCGGAATTCGAACTCGGGACTTCTTAGGCTAATACCAACACGAGAAAGATTGGTTCATAGAGATGTACTAAAGATGTTTCTGAATAGATAACAATAATGTACAGATCTATTCTCTCAATTATTTTTTATATGTACTAATAATAATATAAATTTGTTTTATGTAAATTAACTCTTTTGGGCCCAGCTAAAGAATTTTCTGAGATGAATAGGTAGAATATTTTAAAAGCAGTGCTTCGAACGCTGCGTAATACGAAAACCTACCTACGTATACTATAGATAGGAAGAAAGTCCGAGTGTAAAACGGTAGGGGAGACGTGAAGTGATCGGCATAGTCCGAGAAAATCGATGTCGACACACCCCATAGTTTGCATGACCGTCGACCGGCCATAGACTGTATTAGCTAGCTTACATCGCCATTTTAGAAGATTACGTTTAGCTATATTTCCTCTATTTGTGCCTCTTATTTCTCTTTAAGTTTATATACTTATTAGAGATTAAAATTTTGACTATTATTAACTATACTCTAAGTAGCGGCTTCTTCTTGTGTATATAAGAGCTAACCTCTTTTAGCACTTACACGCGTTTAATTCTAATAATAATCTTCAAACAAACATCTTTCTGCAATAAGCAAAATGTAACTATAAATAGAAATTAATATTCGTATGCAAATAAACCAGTTTCGCTTTTTTAGCTTATTTATAGCTCACGCATTGAATAATAACATTTATCTGAACAGTTTTTCAAGATTTCAACTAATATTCTCGAAGTATTCTCCGTTGAATGAACAAAAAACAAGATTTAAAATTTAGAAAATTCAGTCGCAGGTTTTAGCTGCCCGCATTACAAGGGTGGGTGTTATCGCTGTCCTACTCGGACGCAGCTTCACCGGACATTTCGACCGGGCATTTCAATTTTGAGAAAGAGTAGGACCGGTCCACCCCCCGCACCCCCGCTCAGCCCCTCGCATCTCTCTCGCTTCCGCCAAGGACGAACAAAAGGACGAAGAAGCGATAACTTCATCACAGCGCGCTCTCTCGCTCGCACTCGCGTCTCGGTGGGGGACGACGTTGCGAATTGTTATTGAAGTCATGCCCCCGAAGGCGACTTCGGGAAGGCTGTCAGTTGCTAGTAAACGTTCACAGCGTCTATACCCGACGGTTGACCTTACGGGTTCGCGCTTTCCTACAAAACTACATAACGCGAAGTGACTATATCCACAATTAAGTGCCAAGTTAATCAATTATTATAAACTGTGATTTTTATATGGAACGAACGCATAGCATATTTTGGTTCTTATAAACTTCGACGGCATTATTTTTCGGGACAATTAAACGATGCTGTTTGTGTAAGAGACGCGTGAAAAGTGCACCGGACAGTTCGTCAAAGTTTCGTTGTGTTGTTTACGATTGCGAGCGGAGTGTTTACAGCGCACACGTGGTTGCGCCGCCCGCCCGCGCGCGATGCCGCGAAAAACTTTCTTTGAAAACATTATCGTCGCATAACTTGAACCGCGAGGATCCGCCGCGACACAGATATGACTTTCATTCGTAGCGCCTGAATTGCATCGACTACATGTGCGTGAAAATAAGGAGAGACATTTTTTTTCTTTTATTTTTCTTTGGAGGAGACGGCGCTCTCCTTTGGATTGATGAATTAAATGGCTAACAGCAATACCGTATCATCGACGTTACCGTCGAGGGATTATCACTGCAAGGTTTGCGACCTTTACTTAGACACTGTTGATTCTTTAGAAGTGCATTTGCAATATCACAAAGAGAACCTGTACGTTAAATGGGGGACGCAAAATTCTCAAAATGATTCAGACAACAATAACGGTACAAAAGTGAAAAACGAAACAACAGTATCAGCACCGGCGGACTCCAGCGACAACATGATTACAAAACCGAGTCCGGAATTTCAACAGCGTGCAACACCAGAAACATCTACTCAATTTCCTCATCCGGCCACACCGCAGAGCTATCATAGTGCACCATCGCCATACCAGAATCCAGATCAAACCACATTTTCTCCGGGAGCACAATATGGTAATAACTATTCTCACTCAAGCTTTTCAACCAATCAACATTCAGAACAAATAAATTGGGATCAATCCCAGTACAATCAAGATTACCATAAGTCTAATCGCTTCCATCCTTATAATATTCAAGACCGTGTATCTCAAGTTTCTTCATCGAGCCCTTTGTATGGTCAACCATTGAACCAACCTACTCCATCACCATCACCAAATCAATGCGACAAGTGTGGCTTTGTGTGCGATTCAGCGGTTCAATTAAATGAGCATTGCAACTCTGCTCACGCCGGATCAAGTAACACAAACGCAACGATGCCATTTCAACAATTTCCTGGAAAACAATTTAACAGTACTAGCTATCAGAACGAAAATGTGAAAGTAAAAGAAGAGCACGAAGAATCATCAGATATACTAGATTTGGATTCGCAAAAAGTCGTCTATCAAGGTAACGAGGGTGACGTGCAGAATAGTCAATACGAAGAACCGGCGTCGCAAGGTAGGGAAGTTAACACGCGGACAGTCCCCATGATGCCGTGGGAAACACAGAAGATATACAACAATCCTCCAATAAATGGTGATGTTTCCCTTTTCAAAGATCAGAAAATGTTTCAAGAACAAAAGCCGTATCCGTCAGATGTTAAAATGTTTCACCCGGAACAGAAGTTTGGCTACTCGCAGGATAAATTCGTACCCGTGCATCATGATCAGAACCAGTTCATGCATGTGGGACAAAAAATTTACTCTGGCGTACAAATGCCGCCATTGACAGATTGCACAGGGGTCGCATCTTCAAATTCTGACATGAAGCCACCGTATCGGCCGTATGACTCACCAAGTGCTCCACAAATTACCAGCACTCAGCCTGCAAATCCAACATCATCCGCTTTACCATCGATCGGCGGAAAAGGAGCAAATTGGAAGTCAAATGAAGCAAGGAGGCCAAAGACTTATAATTGCACAGCTTGTAACAAATGGTTTACTAGTTCGGGCCATCTAAAACGTCATTACAACACGACGTTACACAAAAACGCCGTCAGGTCATCGGGTCAACCAGATCCAGCGACGATGCCGATATCCAGCCACCATCACCCGACGCGCGAGTCCTTAGCTCGTGCGCAGCAGCAAAACGCGGACTCTAATACGCAGAGTCCAGTTCCATCTGATGACAGCCGGAGCATCGATGACGGCGCGTTACAATCACCCTACGCATCGCAAAGCTTCGAACGGTCGCATCGGGTCGCCGCCATGCAGTCAAAGCCGCCATACACGCATCTTCAACAGGGTAATTTAGATAATAATTTCAGTAATAATTCTTTAGTCAACCATTCTTTGCAGCATCAAGTAGGGTCTCATCCTATCAATATAGGCGGACAACCACCGGGGATAGGTAATCCAAACGATAGCCAGAGTTCTAAAAGTCAATCAATATCCTCTACCGCGAATCCCCCAAACGGGGAAGCAGGTCCCTCTGTTTCTCAAAATCACCATATGAGGGGCCTGCTATCAGTGTCAACCAGCAATATTTCAGCCCCAGTGCTAACCCAGAGTACTCCAGCGCTTACAGCGCACACGCTGCCGCCGTTCAGCCATTTGGGTGTCAACCCATACAACCCGAGGTCTACGGATCCTTTGGGGCCTTCGGTACCGGACCCCACGCACACCCCATTATATTTGGGTCAGAATTTTCAGCAGACTATAGCACCGAGTTACCCAAACGGGATGGCCCCCCACGTTATGGATATGGCTATCAACAACCTGCCTATAGCCAATCCGGCTACTTTTGGTGAATCGGCACCAGAAGAAGTCGAAGTTATGGAACAAGAAACGTCGGCTCAGCCCGCTGGAGGACGCTTGCCTAGCTTCTCCCAGCTGCAAACGCAGAGTTTCAGCGTTTATGTTTCTAACTACGTCACATCACCTAACGTGGGGGGTCAAGTTCTCGCCGACGAGTCCACCGCCGGTTACATAATAGTTGACCCTGTTCATTCTCCATTACAATATAACAGTATCGATATGAATGGACAAAACATAGACTACGAATATACTTATTCGCCTAAAGTTGTTAAGGAGAGCGTTTCCACTTACAACACGGATAACATAAAGATTTATCCGTACGGTTACGCTGTCGGAGGAAAGACCATTAAGAGAGACGACGACATCATGCGAAGTGACTCGAGTGAATTGCAAATACTAAAAATAGAGGACATAATGGATTACGCTAATAAGGAGAACTACGGGACTCAAATGAAATCTCCCGCTAGTCCAGAGAGCGCTAAAGCTGATAACGAGAGCCACGGCTCGCCATCTATTACGTCGACAGTCCCCGGTACGCCACTAACTGAAAGAAATCAGTTGAAGAAAAGTGTGCCCACCACAATCCATAAGTGTTTCGAATGCGATAAACTATTCAACAAGGCGTGCTATCTGACGCAGCACAATAAGACCTTTCACTCGGGCGCTAAGCCGTTTAAGTGCGATCGCTGCGGTAAGCGATTCTCCGACGACGTTTCATACGAAGGCCACTATTTGAAGCACGCCGACAACAAGCCGTTCAAATGCAACGAATGCCCGAAATCGTTCAACCACAAAACTGATTTGAGACGACATATGTGCTTGCACTCGGGTTGCAAGCCATTCGCATGCGACCACTGCGGCAAAGGTTTCATACGCAAAGATCACATGATTAAGCATTTCGATACGCACATGAAAAAGAATCTGCGCTCGTCCTCCTCATCTTCTGTTTCCTCGACCTCTCCATCCTCTTGAATATTTCGAATAACGACTCTAAGATCACGTAGATACGTATCATATTCGCATATCACGGGTGACGCACGGCCACGAAAGTACAGAGTTTAGGATGCTGCAAAGCTCGAATTCGTTATGTTATGTATAACTGTCCTTATAGAGGAGCCGGGAGCCAATTCCGACACACGCGTTCGGTCGGACATTTTTTATTTTTTGTTGTTCATTCAAATCTAACCTTGTCTTCGACGCAAGGTGACTTTGCATGTCTGGTTGTCTGGGCGCTAAACAAAACATATAATTACACGACGTTGGATTTATTCCGCTATATTTTAGATCGATCCATATCAATTTACATATGAAAAATTATATAGTAATAATTAGTTTTAAAGAACCGCTTATACAATATGTTAGGTCATACCAGTGACTTTTTAATGTTTAACACATATCCTTTGTAAAGGTTTTATTTTAGTTATTATAATAATGTGTTTGCTATTATTGTTGACGTTGATTATGTGAGTGATTTGAAAGAGAATCTTACTATGTAAATATTATATGAAATTAATGACTTGAAATGACGAACTTTAATGCGTTTTACAATCGAGTTTAATGCATTAAAGAAAGATTAGTTTAAGGAAAAAAATGCAGTACAAAATACAAGATTTGGCAATTTTTTTTTTAATTTACATTTATTCGTATTTCGTACCCAGTTCGTATAAGTTAACGGTCTCAATAGACCGGACGATTGTATTCCCGGGTTCGAGGGCTGATTATTTTTAAACGATTAAATATTACCGAAAATAGAATTATTAGAAGGATATTTCTTAATTAAATATCGGTGTCCTCAGTGAAAACGTCAGGGAACCCGAAATATCTCCAGGTCTCCCTAAGAACTTACCAATCATTTAAGTTCACTATATGTAATACGTCGTTGGCCAGTAGCAACGTACTATTCGTTTTTATTTTGAGTAGTTATTGTTTGTATTACCTACTCCGGTGCTTCCTAATAATCTTATCGTTAAAGTTTGTTTTAAAATGTAAGCTAGTTAAAGACTTCCGATTCTCTCGTGAATTGAAAAGTATTCCCACTTTAGTTACCAATGTGTTATTCGAACGAATTTAGTTTTATACATTCCTGTTTCGTTAGTGTAGGTATGTAGTCTTCCTGAACGTTGCCAAATTAGTTCCGCCAACTGTCTGTTGCGATGCGTATAAACTTTTAATAATTTTTAGCCTAATAATAATGAAATTCTCTAGCAATAAATTTAAGATAATACTGTAAATGTTTTCTTTTTGTATAGTAATAAATATCTCGATTATTGATAACGTTTAGAGTAACGAGAAATATGAAACATTTTGTATATACTATACGAAAAGATGGTATATTATATTGAACATATCAATGTCCCGATACACGGGCGTAACAAGATATTCATATCGTTATTCTATTCAAATGGTTGTGAAACCTTTATCACTGCTGTTTCTTGGAGATACAATGAAATTTATGATCGCTTTAAAGTCGATGAGATCTGAAACGAGTACTATATTATTTTCGATAGCAATACGGATATTTTGTCACGCTCAGAACGAATATGAAATCCTACAATTTCTACGTATAATACCGATTCGTTTATGAAAGTCAGTGTGCAATATTAAAATTGTATTGACTTAATTTTGATATTGTATTTTAATGTTGATTATATTTCAGAAATATTTTTATACAAAGTGAAGTACACTTGTCTACCTCAACAGCGACTTTTGAAATATCAAAACTATAATGAGCCATTATACACGAATAATCAATCAATCATGATTATAATAATTGAGACTTATCTATATAATGTATAAATATTTCCAATTGGACAATCGTTGATAATTATTATACATATTATACATATCTGTAATGTTGACGTTCGTCAGTCGATCAGTGCATTTGCGAAATAAAATTCCTCACGCCTAAGTACAAAGCACTTTGAAATCGGTAGTACAAATTTAAAAGTTAAATTATGATATATGTGACTGACGGACATATCGCGACGTACAGACAGAGTACTAATGAAATTGTGCATCAACAATGCTGAGAAACCAGTGAAAGTTCTCTAATTTTTATAGAGTTGATATTAATGTAACATACTTTCATTATAGCAATAATGTAATAGTGACAAATTAAATACGAAACTTAACTACCTCAAGTACGAGTTTTAGGGTTAGAAAGTGTTGTGAGGGCGCGGCTGTGGAACTAGGGCTGTCACAGAACTAACCGAATACCTCATCTTGCCTTCCACAGTTTTATATTTGATTATGGATATAGATTGTTTATTTACAAGGACGCCCGTAGTCCCATACGTCGTCGCTCGTCTTCTAAATAAATTAGCGGACATTTCTCCTCACACTGTTTAAAGCACACACTAGTAGGACTTAGATATAACTAATGTAAATACAAAATCTACGTCAAATTTTGTTATTTATCATAATCAATTATATTCATGATTATTTTAGTTCGATGACAATTTTTATAATAGTTATAGGAAACGAATGTGAGCAGTGAACTTTGTTTGTGTATAATATTGTGTTAATTTAATAATTATTATCAGTTACCAATCGATGTCTGTTAAATTCATTTGAGTAAAGTCGGATCAGTTTAAATATGATAAGATGTTGTTTTCTTGTTGATCCCTATCCACTTACTTAGTGAGATGCTAAGTGTATTTTTTATTATTTGGTATAACTAAGCTTAGTGCGAAATTACAATTTACACATACTAAACTTGTCCATGTGATTTAGACGTACCATTCATATGACTTAATGAGTTATCAAAGAATCACATGCACTTTGTTTAGAGTTAGAATAAGGTTTCCGATAGATTACTTATTAGGTTTAGGTGACAGTTCTGTACATCGCAACGGCGAAGGAGTAAATTTTGCTTTGCGCCTAATTTGTTTGTGTAATGCAATTTCTGTGAAGATCTCCGAAGCTCTTGGTGTAGAAGAGTCATTATTTGAACTGGTACTTGATAACAATTGAATGTTTACACAAGCATATTATAAAATGTGTTTTATGCTCAGCGATTTTCTTTTGTCAAATGTTGTTAATAACAAAAATGCCACGTTACATACAGTTAACTATGCGCAGTGCTCGGTTCTAATGGCGTTTTTGTTGTTCCCTATAATGGTTACATTTGCAACCGGTTACGGATCTGTCATTTAATATAAATTTAATGTGAAAACAATGTTGTTTTTTTTATACCCCTGCCTTGCTTTGCGAAATGCTGTTGTTATTCGTATATTTTCTTACACAAGTATTTATATAGGGTGCAGTATTGTCAGGTACAGAAAAATTCTGAACAAGTACAGATAAAACATAGTTTCAATTTGAAACAAAAGTAAATTCAATAATCTTTTTTTATTAAGTACATTTAATTATAGACATTCTGATTACTCACACATACAATTTAGACTTTCATTTCAATATTGTCTGTAGTTTACGCGAGCCCATTTAAATATAACACTTAACGGGTTTAAACGTGAAAGCTATACTTTGATTTATTTATTTTAACTACAGTACATTTTAGATACTGTCGTGACTAGCGCGCAGTCAGCAACAAATTAATAATAACTTAACTACTATCCTTCGTGTTTTAAACCGTTCAAAGCCGTTTATTTGAATTTGAATTTTAGTAAATGTTAAACATACAAATTAAATAGTTCAGAGAATGCAATTTTGCAATAATTACTACAGAACATATATTTATTTGACGCACACTATGACAGTAGCTACTAACTGCGACGAGAATTAATTTGATTGATCAGTACGGCGCGCGACGGTCCAGTCCAGACTTCTTTTCACCCTAAAAGCTGAAATAAGTAAGTATCTGTAAGTATTCATGATCCTATACTATTATTTATAATATTAAAGTTTATCATCTAATATTAATGGTAATAATAGCGTAGTTAAAGTTAAAAAAAAGGCTAAAGGCTACGATTTTTCCACTATAAGCTTGAAGTTAAATTTTGTATACTACAAAATTACTGTTTAATCAATACTACTCCTATACTAAATATACTACTACTATTCTAATAGATAAAAAAAACAAGTAGATTAGTTAGTTAAAATCGATAACAAAACACAGTTTTACCTATAACTTAAATGAATAATATAACATAAAATTTAAGATTTGCAGATAAGAGTAATACTTAGATGAAACAGCAATTTATGTTTTCTCGACCAAAATCCGTTTTTGCAATAAGGCTGCAAAATATATATCTATGTTTTCTATAATTACTTATAAAGCCTCCCTTAGGTAGGTATTTTATTGGAGAGATATGTAGTACTTATATTCAGACCCCTCCCCCCCAAAACTTACTTAAAAAAAAGTGACGCGCTAATACAAATATAGCAACGTTTATCGATACATATGCAAAGTTGAGTTAAATCTAACTATCTCTTATTTCAAACGTGTGATCATGGTTCGCTATAAAATTAAATTCACTCTAAAAATTAATTCACTATAAAATTATATATTTTAACTGATCTGTAAGTGTTTAATTTAATGATATCATTGCAAGTAATAGTATACTCGCAAAGAATTACCTTTTTGTATTTATCTACAAAGCAAAAATTGTTACAATGTATCGGCCTGTAAAAGACATCAACGCGGTACGTTTTCCTTTTAAAGTATCACAGAAACTTAAATAAAATATATAAATCTTTTACTGCACTTCGTATAAACATCACCAAACTTTAATGAGTGACGTAACAAGAATAATAGTAGGTAGGAGAACGAAATAGGTTGCATATTAGTATACTTTAACGTTTTTGATTCTATATCTCATTTAATATATGAGGCTACTAGAGGCAGAGTGACCTAAAACAAATAACATGTTTTTCAACAAAGGAAAATAAAAATGCGCAATTAACTTAGGGGAAAATCAATTTGCACTTACTATTATTTGTTAGGCTATAAAAAAATAAATAAGTCAAATCATATGGTTAGTTAGGCTACTCTGCCTTTAGTGGCCTCATAT